GAAAGCTGCCGGCTGCATCCCGGTCCCCCGAGGGGCATGCCCTGAGCTGCCAGCTGCATCCCAAAAGCCACCGGCTGGACCCCATGCCCATCAGTTGGGTCCTAACGGCTCCTGGTTGCACCCTTCTTCTGCCAGCAGGACCCTACACCCATCAACTGGACCCTAAGAGCCTCCAGCAGGACCCTACACCCATCAACCGGGCCCCAAGAGTCTCCAGCAGGACCCTACACCCATCATCCAGACCCTAAAATCCACCTGCTGGACCCTACACGTACCAGCCAGACCCCAAGAGTCACCAGCGTGACCCTACACCCATCAACTGGACGCCAAAAGCCTCAAGCTGGACCCTACTCATGCCAGTTAGAGCCCAAAAGTCACCAGAGGGACCCTACACCCATCAACTGGACCCCAAAAGCCTCAAGGTGGACTCTACGCCAGCCAGACCCCAAGAGTCACCAGCCAGACCCTACACCCATCAGCTGGACTCCAAGAGCTGCCAACCTGACCCTTCTCCCACCAGCTGGACCCCAAGAACTACCGGCCAGACCCCACTACTGTCACCCAGACACCATGAGTTGCCACCCGGACCCCAAAAGGCACCAGCCAGACCCTACACCCATCAACCACCCCCCAGGACTGCCTGCCAGAGCTGAGGAGCTGCCAGCGGGTCCCCGCTCACCCTGGGTGGCCGCGGTGCCTGCTCCTTCGGGAACACACAAACCTCCCGGCTCCGATCCCCGCTGCCTCCTCCTCCTGCTCCCAGAGAGCGAGAGTGGCCCTCCTGGGGGGGCAGGGGACCGAGGGGACACTTCTTGTGCCCTGGTTCCTCCCAAAAGTGTGAAGGAAGCAGCAGCCCCCGTTCCCGTGCTGCCCTTGGACTCACCTTGGCTCCCCGAATGCCGACGCTAATTTCTCCCGGAGCAGCGTCTCTTTTCCCTCATGGTAAATTCCTCTAGTGCTTTCCCTGCGTTTCCTCCGCAGGCTGCACACCGCGCCTGACACGGAGCCACGTGCCAGCAGGAAACCCTCCTTCGCCAACTTTAACTCTGTCTCTCCCTAAAATAACGCTGGGCTTGGATTTCCCCCCAGGTGGGCTCCCCATCCTCGCCATGCCGGGGGGGCCCGGGGCTGCCACCTGCACCTGGGCTGCAGGAAACACCCGGTCCTCGTGGGCAAAGCCTCCCAGGGGTCCCCCATATCGGGGTCAGGACCCGGGGGGTGATTGGGGACCACAGCCCCGGGGTGGGATGGGGACAGGGAGCAGGGAGGATGGCGGGGGGAAGAAATTCCCCCTGCGGCGGCTGCTGGAGGGGAAGGGGACACGGGGGGAGCCGGGATGGGGCAGGTCCCAGCACCGTGCACGGGGAAGCTGGTTAAGGAGCAGGAATGGCTGAAAGAACTAAATATGGAAACTTGGATAAAACATCGCTGAAGTAGGGAGAGATGGTTTCCTAACAGAATTCAAAGCATATAAACAAACTCGGGGAGGGAGAGAGGTTGTCTGGAGGGGGCCTTTATGAGTAATATTTAGAAAAAACGGGCTGAAAATATCTCGGTAGGGAAGGCTATTTCATCAAAGCAAACTTCCAGCTTTGTGGGGAAAGTGTCAGTCCTGGGAACATATTGTTTTGGGGGAAGCGATAGTGAAAACACGTGACTCGACGGTGAAAAGCCTCTCCTCCTAACTTTCTTTTCCAGCTGCCATGTTTTGATGATAAAACATGAAGTTTCATGGCAAGAATAAAATAGTAATGACAATGTTTTGGGTTCGATTGGTAGGAAAGTTTCTGACTCTGGTTTTCTGCTTCCTTTGGCAGGTCGCTCCGAGATCCCTTGCTGACCTCCTGCCAGAAGACTGGTGGCTTGTCCCCACTCCCTTGGGGCCAGGGCTGTGTGGCACCAACAGCCCCCATCCCCTGGGAAGCGCCTCCCTGGGGCAGGATGGACAAAAGTCCCAGACTTGGTCTTGTGCTGGGATCCCATCAGGGCTCTCCCATCTCTTAATGTCTCTTAATTCGTTAAGGAGCTCAGCTCTCGGGTTTGCCGGCTCCTCACCACCTTCTCCTTTACGTTTTGGTTTTGTGCCGGCGAAAAGGGGGTGGTTTAATGCGATTACTCCAGTAAAACCCACGTAAGAGGATTCGTGGGGCTCGGCTTTACAGTGCCGCAGGGGCCAGCGGCAGCGCATGGCGCGGGGGGACGAGAGAGCCGGCTGGGAAGCATGAAGAGGCTTTGCAAACCACGGTGTCCCTTGCCCGGGTGACCCCCTGGGACAGAGACCTGCCCCTGGCGTGGCCACTGCTTGTCCCGGCGAGACGAGGATGTAACAGGTAATAGAAATCACAAAGAAGGGGGCAGAAATTGCAGGGGCTGCCCTGGGGCTGGGTGTTTGGGGCTGCACCCCTGAAGGGTGATGGGGAGAGGATGATTTACGCTGGGATTGGGGAAACCCAGCGTGTTTTGCAGGGTTTTCCAGAATACCCTGTGCAGAGAGCCGGCCTGGGTGGGCAGAGGGGTCTGTCCCCGTGTCACCACCGGAGCTCTGGTCCCCGGGGAGGCGCAGGACTGCAGGCAGTGCTCGGGGAGGCCGCCGGTGCTGCGGCAGCTCTGCAGCCTCTTCTCTCACTCCTGCGCCGTGTCCCACTTCTCGCAGGAGAAGGAGCTGCTCTGAGATGCTGGAAAACCTTTTTTTTTTGCCGTTCTGCAGGGAGCAACCGGGTCACGTGGCCTCACCAGTATCCCACTGGGAAAGCCAAGGCGGTCGGTCTGTGCTGGGCACCAGCCAGGCGAGAGGCACCAGCTGCACCATCTGCTGCTCCTCGGGATGCTGCAGGCACCGGGGAACCTGCTGTCCTGCGGTGGGACCATGGACGCTGGGCTGAGTCCCAGTGCCAAGCTGGGAGCTGCTGATGGGGTCTCCCAGTCAGAGCTGGGCTGAGCGTCTTGGCTCCAAGCGGCTCTTCTGCAGCTCTGGGGAAAAGATTTCTAGATTTTATAATTTTGAGGGCTTTTAATGACTTCTATTGTCTCTTCCCAGGGGACAGAGGGCTAGGAGAACGAGGGAGGGTGCGTTGGTTGCCTGGGGGCTCCTCTCCAGGTTGGAGAAGGTGAAACCACGTTGCTGTCCTGGGAGCAGAATCCAAACCTCACACTACCCCGGTACAAACGCTGCCGGTGACCCCGGTACCAGGGCCACCACAGGATGGTCATTCCATCTTCTGGTCTCCTGAGGAACCCTTTGGCAACACCCAAACCCTCCTCTCTCCTGCCTCGCAGTATCTCCCAGGAGTTTTCTTGCAATGCAGAAGACAAGCTTTCTACAGGGCCTCCAGAAACGTGTCTACACACACAGGCATGTTGATATATGTTAAATATATACATTAAACATAGTTAAATATCACCCAGATGGTCCCCAACTGGGGGATGTACCAGGTGGGACGTGGCACTTGCAGGCTGGGTTAGGAGCCAGGTTTGCAGCTTGGCATCGGGTGTGAATCAAGATGTGACACACTGCCAGAGCCCAAAGGACTGACAGGACCCAAAATCTGGCCCTAAATAGCCTGTTTTTTTCCCCAAATCTACAAGGCAGCACGTCTGTGCCCATGCATAATTTATACCCAGCTTTTTCTTTGCTTGGGGATAACTGCCCCAAAGCAACAGCTTCCTTGGGCTGAGTCCAGAGGAGTGGCTGCTGTAACGCGTGTCCCAGGGGACAGGAGGGTGCCAGACACGTCACCTCTGCTCCAAAGAACCCGTTTTCTTAATTGCCAAACAAATTCAGCCCTTCCAGCCCCGGGGTGCAGCCAGCACAGCACGGCTCCTCGGGGTCCCGCTGCTGGCGCGGGAGGGACTCGGCAGAGCAGGTACCAGATGTTGGTGAGGTGTGAGCTCAACAAACCACGGACACATTTATGCAAGCTCCCAGAGAGCCCAGAGTGGAAAAGTGCTTGCTTTTTTTTTTATTATTTTTTTTTTTATTTTTTTCCCTCCTCCTTTCTTGTTTTTCTTGGCCGCTGGGCGTTTGGAGCGGGCTGACACCCAGAGCCCTGTGTTTGCAGATGGCTGCTGTCCTCCTCGGGGGGAAGGCTCCAGACAACGCGCCCGTTGCCGTGGGGAGAGCAGGTGGGGAGGAGACGGAGCAGCGCGGGCGCAGCACGAGGGCAGACAAAAGGATCAGCGGGAGGAGGAGCGGGGTGTCGCGCAGAAACCCCCCCAGTGGGGCCTGGACCCTGCAAGAAAAACCAGCTGCTCGGTTTGACAGCCGTGCCCAGCAGCAACGGCAGCAGCACTGCCAGCTAATTGATTTATAAATGAGTCGGTCTGAAGAGGAGCCGTCCAGCGTTGCGTAGCCTCCCCCTCGAAGGTGACAACAAAAGGAGGTTAGCTTAGAAATTGGGAGGAGACTTAAGAAAAAAACACCCAACAACCCCAACAACCAGCTTGACTTTTATTTCTCTTGGCTGCCTTGCAAGTGCTCTGAGATGACGAAGTTGCAAGACTTTCAATAAAACTGCAGGAATTTGCTGCAAGATCTCTCCCGTTTCAGTGCCAACACGTAGCCCTCGGGGCAGCCGAGCTCTGAAACCGCAGCGTACGCAGAAATTTGTCCCATTTCCTACATTTGTCCCATTCCTACATTTATGGTTGGCCTAAATGATCTTAAAGGTCCCTTCCAACCCAGACAGTTCTACGATTCTATGATTTGGGCAAATGTCACACACCAGAAACCACAGACCCCAACCCTCTGTGTTTGCAGGTGCGGGAGGGGTATTCTCTCTTGCACAGGGTGCAGAGCCGCCCCCCTGCAGCAAAACACCCCATTTCCAGAAACCTCACCACCAGACATCACCGATTTTGGAAACTCCATGGAAAGGGTGAGGGGAAGGGCAGCAGCCACACAGGAGCTGACTTTCCTTTCCCATCTCAAATGGCATTGGAAGCTCCAGGCAGGCAAATCCCCTTCCTGGCTGCAAATCGGGTGCAAATGATTTGGGCACCAGAAAGACGATAAGGAGGCAAAGATGGAGTCCCTTCTTGGAATGCACTATTTCATGGGAAAAACACTGAAGCAGCATGAGTCACACTCCAGCATAACATGTCCCAGGCCAGAAAAACAGTCCCTGGGAAATGAGATAGCTGGCTACACTGGAGCACAGAGTTTTGCTTGACTTGGCTCCAGCTCGGGCAGGATAGTAGCCGAACGTTACCCTGTGCTGATAGACGAGAGGCCTGTGTGAAGAGCACTGGACAGCTCGCTGAAGTTTAATTTGGACAGCGCTCAGCGCCATGACGGGCAGGGCTGGGAACCTCCCTGGGTGAGGGAGCTAACGGAGGAGCAACTCCTCCGCCATGGCTGGGCTGGCTGCGGAGCTCTACCTGCCACCCCCAGCAGCAGGGTTCTGCGAGGATGCTCGGGCCATGAACCCATGTGCTGCCTGGCAGGGGAGAGCCAGGACCCGGGAGAGAGTCAGTGACAGCTTCATCCAACACCTGGGACAGACTGGGAGCAGCGCAGTGAGCACCCTGCCCAGGGGACTGCCGCACACCAGCACACTTCGGCCTGAAGCCCGGGCAGGCCTAGGCTGGGGATGACCTGGGCCAGGTCCTGCAGCACCAAGGGCCTGGCTGCCCCTGGAGGCACGGCCAGCACCGGGGGCCCTCACAGCGAGGCCTCAGCCCGCCTAGGCCTAGGCCTTGCTGGATGCCAGGCCCGGGCAGGCCTAGGCCGGAGCCAGCCTGGGCCAGGCCCTGCAGTACCCGGGGCCTTGGCTGCCCCTCGAGGCACGGCGGGCACCGGTGGCCCCTCACAGTGAGGCCCGGTCCCTGCTCCAGCCCGTCCGGACCGCGGTCCCGGTGGATGCTCCCCCCTCCCGGGCTTATGGCGCCTCCCTCCCCCCAGCGCAACTCTCGCGAGATCAGCCCGGGTCATGCGCCTGCGCAGTGGCGCGAGCCCCGGGGGGAAAAGGGGCGTGGCCTCCGCCCCGCCGCCTCACGGATCCGCCGCCATCTTGTTTCTCGGCCGCCGGGCGCTCGCTCTGCTCCGGCCGCCCCCCCCCCTTCCTCCCTCCCTCCCCTTCCTTCCCGCCTCCCACCGCTCGGGCCGGAGGCAGCGCGGGCGCCGGGCGGAGGAGG